GGGCACCACTGGAAAGAGTCTGGCCCTGTCCTCCTGACCCCGACCCTGCAGATATTTATGGGCATTTCTAAGGTCCCCTCTCAGCCTTTTCTTCTCCAGGCTGAATAAGCCCAGCTCTCTCAGCCTCTCCTCGTAGCAGAGATGCTCCAGTCCCCTCATCATCCTCACAGCCCTCCGCTGGACTCTGTCCAGTAGCTCCTCCAGTAGCTCCTCATCTTTCTTGAGCTGGGGAGCCCAGCACTGGGCAGAGTACTCCAGATGGGGCCAAAGCTTGACTTGGGCTGGGCTGGTCTGCGGAGCAGCGAGGGAGCAAGAGGAGGGATGCTGGGCCGGGAGCGGCGGGATGTCTGGGGAAGGTGCTAACAGCCCTTGGCTGGCCCAGACCCACTTCCTCAGATCTCCGTTACACAGCATGCTCCTGGCGCTGCTATTTCGGTCTGAATGTCACCTATAAATTGGAGGCTCTTTCTCTGAAGGCTGCAAATAGAAGTGTCGCTGGATGATCTTTGATTTATAGGGAAGCTCGGCAGAAAGCCTGGCGTGTCCTTTTTCCAGCCAGGAAACTCAGAGGGGTCCAAGGATCACACAGGGATTCGTTGCTTTTCCTCGACCTTTCCTCAAGGGTTGGCAGGTCCCTCCTGGAGGGGGTGGGGAGAGGACGCGCAGGCAGATTCCTCTCCCTAACCGCTCTCTGCCTTCTGCTTTTTCAGATTCCTCCTCCTCCGCCACCCAGCCCTGCCCCATGGATTTCAACCTGCTGGCGGACGCGGAGGCTCGCAGCCCAGCCTTGTCTCTCTCGGACTCCGGAACCCCCCAGCACGAGCACAGCTGCAAAGGGCAGGACCACAGCGGTGAGTGCAAGGCTGCGGGTGCAGGAGAGGCCCCGGCGCATCCCTGGGGACGGGTCCGGCTGGCGGGAGCCGGCTGCGGCGCTCCCGGGGACACGCTGAGCATCCTCGCGCATGCGAGCCGGCACCGTGCCATGGCGGCATGGCCGGCCCCGCAAGCCGGGCGA